CATGTCGGCATCATACAAAAGATGGACCAAATTTGTGTTAAATTCTAGCGAAACTAGCTAGTTCCAAAATTTGAAACATCCCCGACCATAACAATAACATAATTAATAGTAATAGTAGTAGTTAATAGTAATAATTAATCAATAATATATATAAAAATCGATTCAGTATTTTTCTCGCCTCATATATAATACCTCCAAAAATTACATTCGTCCAATGTACAGGTCGAAAACGTCATATCTGAGATTTTAGATAATATTAAGTTGAGTATTATAGGTCGTTCCCAAAATCCATAACCCCGCGATACAGTTGTGTCTGTCAAATATATGTTGTTTCAATGACGACCAAAGTGAATTTGCATCAAATATTCTTTCTCGTCATGTCGTTACACTTTATTAATCTTCTTTTACTATATTAGAAAATACCGCACCGACATCTTTTTGGAGTCTCAATTCCATCAAATATGTATGTTCATTATCGAAGTGCAGCGAACGAAGATCTCTTGGCATCCATTCAAATTGCACAACCTATCTACGGAATTACTCGACCTAACCGATACAATTCTACAGGTCGCTATGAAACTTACATTTGAATATAAGTGATCTGAGATAATAGAGACCATCGGTAACCAAGTCAATAAGTAAAATTATTTGATTGTAAATTTCATGAACACAATGGTGAAAAAAGAAAAATAAGAAAAAATTACAAGGCTGTGCAGCAGCGATAGTGAATCGGCATACTGCCTACTTTTATAAATATCAATATTAAAACTGTGAAACCTTTCAACACTTCCGCAATTATTTTTAAAAAAAAACGTGGATTTTTAAAGAATTTGGTATAAAGCTCCTGCAGGTGTATCTTCTCGTCCCTGTTCTGAACCGTCCGAGTCCATTTCTTCCAAACACGACCCGGTTGTCATCGTCCCTTCCCGTGATATTGCGATCGGGTTTTTCATTTTCCGAACGTCCTATCGCTATGGGATTTTGCATCTGCGCCAACCGTTCTCACTTCAGGCCTTTGCACGAGTACCCCAGAATTTCCGACTTTTCGTGATATATCCATACCGACAGCCGGCCGTCTCCCGCTACTTGGAATTCGCTTATACGAAGCACAAGTCCGGTGTGTATGGAGTACTACTGCCTACCCATAGTATGGTTTTGCTAAATAGCACCTGACAAACCTGAATTTAGTTTTAAAGCATGACAAGAGGCTTATAGATGACTGCAATTTAGAAGAAGCGAAGCTGCAGAACCTCGATCACCGACGTAAAATTGCCAGCTTTTCGGTATTACCCAGAATATATAACGGAAAGTATGCCATGGAATTGCTTGATTGAATTCCGCCTTCCCCTTTCCATCATCGATCGGGAGACTAGATATAGGCTGGTGTTCCACATCTATTTTGTTTAATTTCAAGGATTCGTACGAAGCGTTTCGCTTCCACATTTAAATGGCGAACGGCTAAGGAGTGGAATACCTTTTCTTATGATATTAAGTAACGGACGACGAGGAACGAGTTGCGCCTGTCCATAACAGTTACAGTGTCATGCAAAGGGCACTACCACTGCGCCCATCACCTTGAGACATAAGAAAAGTCTCATGGGCCTGTAATTTCACCAGCACCGTTACCCTTCAAATCTGGAACGCAGTAATGCTCGCATTACTGCTTGGTGGCGTAGCCGTACTACCCTGGACAAACTCTTCCACAAGGAGCTCTACTGCTACGATTTTCCCTACCTGCCCACTTATTCCCCGAACGCTATAACTTGAGCCGCTTCAAAGCCATTTAATTGTGCATGCTACATCGCCAACCTCATTGTCACTTTCCATCAGGTGAGATGAAGATCAAGTGCTCGCTTATTTTTTATCGTTTTACATTATAGTCTAATTTCTTCTACTTACCTTCTTCTACCTACAGGTGAAAAGTTTATTTTCCAGTAAAACTTAAAAACACTACATTTTTCATTTTGATCTCTAATAATAGCAAGTTCATTATTCAGGTCACACTAGATTATAACGTGTAAACAACAGTATACAAAAAAAAAAACAAAATTACAATGTCTACAATAGAAAACAACACAGAACCTAGCAACAATATGCGAGTTGTACTTGTCAGGCTTTTTATTGCATTCCCCGTCGCAAGAGGGCCTTAATTTAATATGGCTTGCTCGATTTGTTTACAAAAGAAAAATTTATTCATGAAATTTGTTTTCCGAGGGTCCAGGGGATAAAAATATACTTTGTTCGTAACTTACTTTGAACCGGCCTTTCGTTTTCTTCAACAATATTCTTCATATTTTTTTCGATACCTCCATTTTGTTACTATTGAAGGGATAATTTTTGGGAGTAGTATTTCTTGGCACAGATAGATATTTGGGTATTTCAGGTATATCTACTTTATTAACCTTAGAAACCCGTAATCAGTGGAATATGTACAAATGTAACAAAAAAGTATTTTATTTTAGCTATTGATCCTACTCCACAAAAATACTTCAATTTTCACAAATTTAAATTTCGTTTTCGATTTTATATAGAATATTCTGCCTGGTAAAGCAATACTTTAGAAGTGTCTATGTAATTTCTATTATTACTAAAACTAGTCACGCAGCACACAAACGTACTTTAGATAAAGTCGCAATGAGTCAAATGCATCAAACGGCACAAAACGCATGGACAGCGTAAAATAAAGGTGATATCCATAGTGCGACAGAAACGGACGCATTTAACTCCGAACTCTGTCACGTCTGTTATAATTTTAGAACTAATTGCGCAGTGACTCAAAGTAGACTCAAAGACTCGGTTGTGAAGACTCACAAGTAGCAGACGCTCCTGCCGATGATTAATATTGAGGTTCGGTCTTTCTAGATTTCATTTCTCCGTTGATATTTAGGACGTTGGAACAGTCAGCGTTCCATTTGATCATCCCAACCACGCACTTTTGACAGCACCATTCTCTCTCGTTCTTTCTACGCGTCATTTTTTATGATACCAATTGCCGCGACGAACAAGTCGTGCACCTGGTGGTGAATAACACGCCTGTCCATAGCAGTTGCAGTGCCACTCATAGCTTTAAATCGCAAAGATCTGAGAGGCACTGCCAATGCACCTGTCACCTAGAAACATAGGTGGCCAAGTCCATTGTGCCTGTAATTTTACCCATCAAAATCGGAATGCAGTAATGTGAGCATTAATGCTGGCAGCAGTAATAGGTAAGGTAATAAGTACATCCCTGGACGAACTCTTTCACAAGGTGCTCTTCTGCTACTAAAGTCTTTTAGTTTTAGATGTATTTTCTATTTAAATTTTTATGTTCGTTTCTAAATTATTTCCACTTCTTTTTTCATTTTACTTTTTGTTTTATTATTAATCCTTCGGTTGTAACTTTAAGCTTTAAGTTAAACTTTGTTAAGATAATGTTGCTATTATGTTTAGCGCCATTGGTTCCCATTCAATAAGTCTTTATAAGTACTAAAATAACGGCATTATTAATGAACATTTAACCAACATTTGAAGCACGTCATAACCATTCATTAACAAATTGAAAGGTAAATCCTATTAATAATAAATTATACAATCAAGTAAATTCCTTGTTCATTTATTGATTCTTCATTTACATTATTGAATAGATTTTCGACAATAACAATTTCGTTTTTTTATATTTATAATTTCGATTTTACAACAACGACGTAATTTATCACTCGTGATTAATACTCTAAAAGTTGGACCTCATTCGCCAGCACGTTTCAACAATGTTTTTTCTCCAAAGGTCATATAAAACAAACATTTAGAGCGGACGTAGTGTTGATGCGTGCCGAGAAGTGGAGTTCAACCTTAATAACACCACCTAGGATGCAATAGGTGATACTGTCCTGGAATAATAAGCATCAATCCATAGGTAAAGATTAACAGCACGGTTGGATATTTAGAATTTTATGATCGCCTTATTCCGGTAGGCGCACAGTGAACCCATCTCTTTTCTCATCAGTAAAAAAGTGCGCAAGATTCAATTAAACTGTAAAATTTTCTAAGTTTCTAATCATCATTAACCCATTTACACGACCCACAGCTGGCCACGGGTCTCCTCTCAGGCGAGCCATAGCCCGCCACGATGGCCCAATGCGGGTTGGGGACTTCACAGGTTTTCCGATTGTTAACCTTCGACGTGCCGGTTCCATCACTATGTTTTCCTTCACCGAAAAGCTCATGGTTTTCGAATTAAATTTCGTAATAAATTCCGAGACACTTAGAGTCCCGGATTGGAACACACGGACTGTTTGAGAGCCGAAGAAGAAACCATTAGACTACCACGGTTTCAACACAACAGGTTCTAATACAAATACTTATTGTCAAAGTTTGTGAAGTAGTCAAAGAACATCGATTAATGTCACTACTTGAAAATAAAATGAAATCCTCTATCCGTTTCTTATTGATACCAAAAAAAAAAACAGATGGGTGGAATTTTATTCAAGTTACATTACGTTTTCCCGATTCAACTCAGCTGTCATTGTCTTTTAGTTTTGCCTGAAGAATGATCTTGGCAATATATTCAACCTCAAAGACGACTACGAATAGATCGTTTTATGTGTCAAGAAGTCAATTTGCAGTCTGCAATTTTGAGCACATTTCAACGTAATGTATCTTCTGTGCAGTGTAACAACTTATCCCTTCCAGAATCAGCACCCTAAGCAGTCTCATACCTTCATTCTGTGTTTTTTATATCAGTCCATAAATTAAAATTAGGGTTCATAAATAATTTTATATACAACATCGGTTCATAAATGAATAAAGCAGAAAGAGTTCTTATTAGTGTTTTGCTTTTTTTGGTCTCCTATTTTCAATTTTTTTTTAAAAGATAAAGCAAATATTAAATTTACATGTTTTCACAACTCTATCATTATTCAGTTTAACAATTGCTATGGAAGAGATATAACTAGCGCTTAGGCCTGTTTTACACGATGTAAACACTAACTCCGTATTAGTACATTGAGCAATTACAGGGTGTCCCAAAATCTTATATACTAAAAGTGTGTCTACACAGATCTGACTTCAGATTATTTTCGGTTCCATGTAGAAATCAGTGCGTATGTTTGTTTAAAAAACACAATAGAATCAAGAGTGCCAAATGGCTTATCTATTCATTTATCAATGAAATAGTTTTTTAATTATCGTTTCACATAACAACAATTGAATAATTTGGTAGGCACTTTTTTCAATCAAATTCTTATAGAATATCGTCAGAAAAATGTTGTTATCCCTTTATCCCTATATCCGTTACAGGAACCGACTCAGTTAAACTGTAAGTCTGTACATAGGATACGCGTTAATTTTCAGGACACCCTGTACTATATACAGGTTAATTCTAATGTTTCTATTTACAAACATAACTACCTTTATACACATACTCGTACAATATTCGTGGTATTTATAAACGGGTTCACTTATTGACATAATTTTATAGCCACTATCGATAAAATAACGCTTAAGGTCCTAGATAGAACATTAGCCTTACTGTACGCAGTCTTTTGCTTCACCGTTCCATCTGTCAGACCTAGAAAATGACAACCAACTTTTTATTATGTATAAAGAAACATGAAGGAACTAATAGTACCCCTTGATGTAACCAATTTTGTGACGTAATAGCTAGTATAGCTGTAACCAATGTAATTGAATAAATTGCTGAGTTATTACTGAAAAGTGACACCAATTTCGCGCTTTGTAATTTGTCATATAACATGAATTAACAAACTAATAAATTGTGGGTTCAATATGGTACCCTGTGGAAGTACATTTTTTGAACATTTTTATTTGAAGCTATAAATCGACTTACCTCCAACATTTGCCTCGGCAGCTGATTGAGAGCTGGGATATAGTTTTATTTCTAGAACAAACAATTTTGTAAAAATTATTAAGTTAAATTACAAACAATTTATTAAAAAGACTGAAAGCCATTTCCACCCACCATTGCATGAATAGAAACTTTATTTCTAAGAAAGAAATATTGTAAGAGAAAAATTTGTATAAAGAAACAAAAGAAAATAATCGACCCCTTTTGCTAGATGAACTCAGAGAAAGCTTATCTCGGTATGATAAATAGCTGAGATTTTTGTCTCCAACGTGTAAGGATTTGGTGTAGGATTTTGCGATTAGTCTAAGATACAAACGACAGCGACAAATCATTCTAGAGCTTGTTCCGTAGCATTATAATTGAAACCTGCTGTTATTGGCTCACTAGTTTCAAAAACTTAAAAGCTATGTTCATTAGCAGAGTCCCCCAAATTAACCTATTAGCTAATTTTAAGAGCCCTCGTAGACTGCAGATTCTCTATCGACCGGTGATTTAGTCAGGTACTTAAACAGTATTTGAAGATGTGTAGAGGTGCGCCCATTATAATGATTCCGTATCAGATGATAAATAAGTTTGATGGGCTACTCGACTGCTTTAAAACTGATGGTAGCCTTTCTGGCCATGATCATTTTCTTTTGTTCATAAATCGCTTCAGTACATGACTGTAACCTAAAACTTACAATAAGCCTAGAGTGGCACTTACCATAAAGTCGAAGGGTGCCTTCACTCTTGCCTAAAGAGTTCGTACTGACACAGTTGTAGGTGCCGATGTCACTCCGGACGAAATTTTTGATCGTCAACTTCATTTGCACCTTGTACGAAGAACGCTCTTCCGTTATTGCGTACTTCGGCCTGATTTGAGACACAAGTTAAATGGTAGTAAACAATTTTAGAGAAACAACTGGACACAAAAATTATAACAATGACTTGGTACAACGAGGAACTTATCGATCTAAAAAAATAAGAAAACCATTGGAAAAAGGATACAATGATTTTTTTTTTTCAATTCTTGACGCAGTTAAATCCCAGCCCATTATGGTTGTGGAATAATTCCTCGCAATAGGATTAATTGGGAATCAATCACAATTATAAGCGTACTCGATAATGGTAACCAACAATCTGTCTTGTTCGCCAGACAATGGGAACAAAGGATTGGACCGTATTTGAATAAACTGTTGACTTGGATTTGTTACAACTTCCTCATAATTCCGATTGGCCGAAACGATTTGGATAGAAATTGTGATTTTTTGATGAAAAGTCCATAGTTTTTGACAAGATTGTGGAAATATTGAGTTCATGGATGATGGAAATACTGAATCTGAAGAAATGTTCTATTATATTTTGTAAACATATACCTGTGTACATATATTACAGCATATGAAGTAGAATTAAGTCCAAATATCGATCGCAGGTTAGGTAGGTAGGTTGCAATTCGTTATACCCAAACACACACACACGCTATCAGCGTTTAAGGTGGCCTACACCAAGTGTTCACGACTTTACTGAATTACTGATGTGACACAGATGCGTCTGTAACGGGGCATGCATGGGTCAATGCACAGTAAATAGGGAGCCAATTAAAATAGCGGCAATTGCTTAATTACTATCATTAATAAGGTGGGGCTGGAGAATGGCTGTCATCAGTAGTTCAAGGATATCTGTAAAATCACGAACTATACCACTATCCCTTTAAAGCTATTTTTATGAGATTATAACTGATATTATTAACATATTTGGCTCATATCTTTTAACAATATGAACCATATAGGAAATGAAACTATTTTTCCGGATTTCATGGTCAACCGTGACCATGGGACCTGTAAAGGGCCCGAAACGTCGGTTTGTTTGAAAAAACAAATATACGCGATTTAAATCCGGAAAAATAGTTTCATTTCCTATGTGTAACAATCGCGAAAACCTAAGAACTCGAAATATGAACCGTAATCATCTATGCCAAAATTCTTAAGTTTTTTATATTGTCTTTTGTACATCAAAGAAACATGATAAAATATTTCTTACCCGTCAAGTAGCATCTCGCCTCGATTTTTTAACCAATAGTTGATGGTATTGGGGTAGGCTTCCACTGTACACTCGAGGATTACATCTGTTCCTAGCGGAGCTCCTAGAAGCTGATTTGGCACTATTACTGTTGGTGGAACTGTGAACAAATAGAGTTATATCACAGCTTACGAAGTAGTATTAAAGTCCAAATATAGAGCGCATGTAGAAAGTTGCAATTCGTTATTTTTTTGGTTATATTAGACTTTATTTAGAGCCGTTTGGATATCAATTAGATGCAAACTCAATGGATACTGTGCTGTAGCGTTAGTCAATGTACCCACGGAACATTACAGTTTCTAAGTGCAAACTACTTTCCTAAAAACCTGATTCATTTTGTCATCACGTCATTGATATCACTTGTAAAAACTTCAAATATACATTATACTCTATTAGGCATGATTTTACTACTTTTATCAAGAGGCATAGAACTCTGTCCTAGGAGATCCGTGGCCATAAGCACTGCGGATTAAAATAGTAGAAAAAAACGTGACAGTCAAATTAGTGTACCAGTTACAGGTAGTAGTGTCTACCTGTAAAAGTAAAATTGAAATGTCAAATAAGAAACCAATTCATTTAAAAAAAATACGGACTGTACATAAACAAAAGTGGCAACAAACGGTACTCCATAGGAACGTTTGAAAAGGCCTACAAAAATACACTTTCAGAATAAATTTTTACTAAATTCGAAACAAATTCTATCTTCTATTCCCATTAGAGAAAGTCTGCATTAAGCTAAACCAGTAAAAGGTCATACAACAACACGGGGGCGTGCTTAAATCTCACAGGTTGATGTATATTTATTTATATACTAAGCAAATTCGAAGGTAAGCAAAGACTGGTAATTGGTTATTAGCGTTAAATTATGAAGAGAATGAACATCTTCTTATAACGTCATGTTAAATTGTGTGACGAGTATTTAAAATTAGAAGATTAGATGTTATAGTATATATTACTTTTGTTTATATTAATATGGTATACTATAATCCTATTGTAAGCTCAAAATTTTCGCCTGTATACAACTGCTGTATATAAAATGTTTATACCTTGATTTAGAGAATCTCCTCCTCCTAGAACACAGGTCTAATACCTAGTTTAGAAGTTGGAAGCTCATATATAATTGTGAATTATGTTGTATTTAAGTGTTTATAAAATGTTGCATAATGTAAAGTACGAAATAAAAATATTGTTGTTACTAATAACTATTATTACTTCGAAAAAGAAACCGCTCCCTTCTGAGATTCTTTACCTTCTGGGAGTAGTTTATCTGTTCGTTATCTACTTTCGACTGTTATATAACTACAGAAAAGCAATAATCTATATTTGGTAAGTAATCTTGGATAAATTTAGCAATTCGTAAAGATTTCGATTGCGATCAATAAGTGGATAAACCAAGAATCTTCAGCGAGTGCTTACTAGCTATCGCTGAATAGTCCATTCCGGCACAACCGCCATTTTTGGTATCTATTAATTGTACCCGTACGTACGTAAGTACGTAATATCTATCCTTGAATAAGACCTACATTATTTTGCAATTAGCAAAGGTAAGGTCAGGATAAATCTTAAAGAAGTTAAGCTTGTTAGCTTATATACAGTCCCACTCCTGAGCACTGGCCTCCTCTTACAATGAGAGGGCTGTAGTACTCGCGCGGGCTCTATGCAGACTGGGAACTTCGCACACAACAAATTGCTTTGCAGTTATGTGCTCAAAATATTTTCCTACGTCGAAAATATCGCACTTAAATTCCAAAAAACTCAGATGTGCAAGCTCAGATCATTTCAACCCACGAATTTGATTAAGCACATAATGTGCATCTACATATTATAATAATAACTGGACTTGTAGAGGGGGTTCTTCGTCGTATTGATGACGTCACCAAATCGAGTAAAAACTACCAGATTCGGAGCTTCAAGTTTTATTTCCAAGCTCGAATCAAAATGATTCAAACAGCATCTGTGACTCATTGCTCGGCAAAGGTAGTGTAGGACGGGTAGTGTAGTGATACGAGGACGGGGATAGCTATTGGAACGGAGGAACACCTATGACTTTGGAACGTCATTCCTTTGGAACGAGTCACGGTGATACTGTTTGACGGCGGATCATCGTGATTTTTTCATCGTGACTATATTTATCACCCACCTCTACAGACTACCCAACTTAGGTACAATAGAACTGTCTTGTTTGGGCTCATTAAATTGATCTCAACGAATTGTTAGCTTACAGATAGTGACTTTCTTGAACGTTCCGTATCGAATTTTTTAATTTTAATTTCAAATGTTATTACGCTAATCAACTGCAAGTAGACTTGATCACAATTTTAGTAAAAAAAAATAATTTTATAAAATTTTCAAATAACGAATAAGAATGAGAACTTCGTTGCATTCTCAAAGTGTAGGTACGTATTGTATTCGCCATACAGACATAATCTTAAGTATTTAGTATGATGTTGTAAAAAAGACTTCAGAAAATCCATTTATATGTCAGATACTGAGATATTCTTTTCTTACAAAACAGGCATAAAAAATTCACAGAATGTATGCTGGAGTGATACAATTATACGGATTTACGCTTGTATTTTACGCTTCAGAAAAACCTACCGTTAAAATGCTACGGTTTTAGAATATTAATATATACGTGTTGAAGAAGAATTTGTTAACAAAAGTAAATTTACTGCGGTAAGAAATAAAATACGATCGGAAAAACGATCTGGTCTAAAAATACAAATATTCGTCAAATTGTGTTAACAGAAAACGTCTTAATATTTTAAAATAAATGTACCAGCTCATATGATCCATTGGATCCCCAACCATATTAGCCAATCCAACGACAAAGCGGAATGGAAGTTGAGTCAGGTTTCGAGAATATAGTAATATGTATCAAAACAACACTGTTAAAGAGTATACAAATACTTGGGACGGAACTATTACCATTATCTTAGTAGACTATTAAGAAGTATATTATAAGCTAGGACAAACTGTCCCTAAACTTAATGGATTAAAAATTTCATAAACATAAAGGCCATTCACAAAAAGATTATTCGTGCCTTAAGAGAAACACATCAATTTCTTATCCTATCGATGGCCTACACTGCAATTGCAATGGTTGCCATCATGGTGAAAGAATTTGCCAATGTTTTATTTTTATGATACCAAATGACAATCAAGTCATGCATCTGATGTTAAGCGATATGGCTGCCCTTTAGAGCTTTAAAACTGCAACTGCTCGCGTCATTCTGAGACATAAGTTGACAAGTCCCATGTGCCTGTAATTTCACCAGCACCCTTCAAACCTGAACGCAGTAATACTCCCCTGCTTACCGGAAGAAATAGTTAACGTAGCAGTTTTAACCTGGATGAAATCCTTCATAACGAGCTTTACAACTAAAAAGCGTACTCGTCGATTGTTGACCAGCGCTCTGGTCACAGGAAACGAATGTTACGTCGTTTGGGGGACTCCTTTCGTACACCCTACCACTTATCAACACCCTATACCCGATTCGACCGGATGCTAAACTGGCAACTTATTTTTCGCTCTTAATTGGATATAGTTTTTTAGCGGTTTTAAGCCGATTCCACGTTAATAAGTGTGTTGACATCCTAATACTGCAGTTAGAAAGATTCCAATAGTGAATTTTGTGTTTATCCCAAAACAAAGCGTTCTTTCAGAAAACTCTCTCATTCAAGATTGCGGGATTTGGTTAGCGGTTAGTGCGCGAAAGGCAATGTTCTGATAAACTGGGGTTGATCCCACTCCGGGATCCCGGATTGGAAGAGTCCAATGAGTCGTATAATTCACTACACTCTTGGTTGAGTCCCGGGATTTCAATTTTACTTGTGATCGAAGAATTTAATGTTACCCGATGCGTGAATTTCATTGTCGGTGAAATTTCAGAATTCGTTATGAATGGGAATATAAATTTTATTATTGTAATGATGAGTCTTTATAAGCTCGAAAAGGATTTTTGGTTGAATTTATTGAAGCGAAATTTTTCCTATTACACACCGTGGTTATACGAATCTTTTGACAGGTAATGGGTAATATTGTAATTGTTATTTCAAGGACTTATTAATACACAATGAGCTTATAGTCGCTGTAACCTCGTTGTGAAGACATAATATGATGTATGTGTGTGCCCATGAGCTCTATTAGCTCATTCTGCCCGCCCCTTGTTACCATGGAACAGACCAACGACGGGATATCATACCCATAAAGATGACTAAAAGTACTTAGTATGCCCGACGGGAATAACTACCAAGTGTATTACCATACGGAATACTAAGCGCTTTTAGTCATCTTTTAATATGCTCACAGCTCATAAATGGAATTCCTTACTAGGACTGTGTTTCTGAGCACATACCAGGAAAGTACTACTACTATACCTATTTCTGCTGCAGAGCATTAATGATCACATTACTGCGTTCCGGTTTTGAAGGGAAAGGTTGCTTGTGAAATTACAGGCACATGGGACTTGTCAACTTATGTCTCAGAGTGACGGGCGCAGTGACGCTGCAACTGCTATGGACAGACGTGTCGCTTACCACTAGGCGCACGACTTTTTCACGTAGTATCATAAAAGAAAATTGTATATCAAGTACTTAGGTTTTCATGACTACCATGCATTGGAAATGTTACTACTTTCTCGGACATAAAATTGCGTATTCTATCATTCATTTGTCGATATTTCATCAAAAAAAAGTTTGTGGAGTATCATATTAAACAAAACACTCAGATCAGTCTCTGTAGCATTCCTCCGCGATAAAGCTAGTATTTTCACATTTAGCTGTCAAATTCGAGTGATAAATAGGTAACAGTTCTGCTCAATAATTTTATCAACGTAAAAATTGAGCGTGACCAACGAGATAAAAAGAAATTATAAAAACAAACAAATTGGTGTACATACATTGTTGAAAAAAGGTGAGAACATTACATAAACGACAAAGATACCTATATATGCAATGTCATATCCTTATCCTTGTTCTTCAAAATTATAATGATATAAATATATATGTATGATTTCGTGCGCCATGTAAGCCGAGTTGCAAGCACTAAGGATGCGAGCAGTTAATATCATTGTTAGTTTTACCTGCGTAGCACATTCT